ACTCTATTTAGCTACCTTTATTCATTCAAAAGGAAAAATTACCATGCCTTTTACCTGAACGATATCATTTAACTGCACAAACAATAAATGCTGTTTCATTACTAGAGTATAGTTACTGTGAATATAGGTACGGTGAGATTTTCACATTAAGTCTGAATACGGTAAACCCTGGCAGGAGAAGAATGAAGTGTACAGAGCTGGGTATAGAGCTGGGTCCCATTTTACCCAAAGCCGGTATTTTTCTTGGAGAGGAGAAATGAAAGTAGAAAGAATAAATGGCTATTTTCACTTCTACGTGTTTTATAAAGGAATAAATTAAAAGTCTAAACTGTTCCAATGCATTTAAATTGTAAGTAATGCCATTTATGAGTAATAATTTAATTGTGAGTAATGCCATAATGAGAAGGCAAGGAAGGGGGAAATCTATTGAAAAGTCTACCTTTTATTTTTAAAAATGGCAGAAAACTGAAGAGCTCCATTTAGAATTGTGTAATTTTTTTGTTTTAATACTTCTGACCGGAACAACAAGAAAAAGTATCTTTCAACAGCATAAAAATTCTTCCTTCACTTTGTGGATGTAAAAACTTTTATCTCAGCTTGCATGGATATTCAAATGCCTGTCCCCTTACCAATCCTTTGTCCCCAGGACTGGTCTGTTCAATGCGTCATGGCCTCATGCTCAGTTACGAACCAGACTCTGAACCACCTCTCCTACAATGCACCACAATGTCTTTGCAGCTCAGCTCTAAATGGCACATAGCAAAACAGTTTAAGTGGGAATCCCAGTTTACAGAGGAGAAAAATGACACTTGGGATTTTGATCGATGTCTGCAAGAAGTGGACTTGCTTTTTCAGAAGCAAACAGAAAAATCCTGTTTTCCCCAAATGCCCAGTTTTCTACTGAAAAACTATCAGCTGAATGATTTTGATCAGCCTTCACTTAAAAGCAAGGCAGGATAAGGAAGGTAGAAATTCTACGTATAAAATAACTAATAACCAGGCCATAAACGTGCAGAGTTGCACAGGCAACTAAATTAATTGCCTGCTGTATTCCAATCAGCCCAATGGCCACAGCTTTACTGGGAAATAAGCATTCTTCAGAAACACAGCAGTGCCTTTCCCAGGGTGACTCCTGCTGCACCCAAGTGCCAGTCTGCACCAATCTCCATGCAATTTTATTTCTTGCACCTTCCCTTGGGTTTGATCCTTTTCCATCTGAAGCCAGGGGGGATGTTTCCAGTGGTGACCTGACCTGCCAGATCTGGTGGGACCAGGGTGTGGGACCTTGCCCTTACGTGAAGGTTATTTAGATCTGGTGAGAGGAGTTGCCATGTCTCCCTCTGCCTGCACTCCCCTCCAGCCACATGTTTTCATTCAGCGAGGTGGGAATTCAGCTTTTGTTGGATGAGCTATGGTTTTCCTGGTGGTAAAGTACATTTTTTGTTATGGGGACAGGGCTTCACACTCTACCATGTTTCAACCCAGAAGGGATTTCTGCCAGTCCAAACCCATGACACCAACCACACTTTCTGCTGAACAGACACTGGCATCTGGCAGCTCAGTAGTTCTGGGCTCCTGCACCACCAGGCAGCCAGGATATCATCATCTTGTTTACAGCTGAAGCCAGCCATGGTTTTCATCCTGCAAACTAGTGCTTTTGGTCACAGTGACACCTGTGTGTGGTTTGAGTTTGGCTTTTTTGCTGGTTGGGATGTTTTTGGTTCTAAACAACAGTACATACTCCTGGAGGAGTCTATAAAATGTCTTGCTGCTGCAGTCATTGAGAAGGATATGCTGAATCAAACCAGACTGCAATTTGCAGACACCTGCACAGTGTCTCCTGGCTTAGTCAAGCTCATTATACTAGTTCAGTGTTAGACACTACTGAACTACCCATCCATGGCACAGGGATCTTAAATCAAGCTGAGGACGGTGCCCCAACAGAGCAACAGAGCTTCAATTGCTACATGCATCTGTGCAAAAGCGAGGTAAACCTAACTACGGCAGTTTCCATGAGGTATGGCTCCCTGTGGGGAGGCCACTGGAGGAATCAGGCAGGGCTCTGCCTCAGGAGGGCTGTTTTCAGGGTAGGACCCTGTCCTCAAGCCCCTTGGATCCAGCTACACCTGTAAGTTACAGGATGCCACCAAGTCCAAGTAAATCATCGTGCAGGGCCTGGGACTCCCTCCTACGGCAGCCCCAGTCCATAACATTGCATTTGGTGAAGTTTTTCCCAGGTGCTTTTCTCATAACAGGCTCATTTTCTTATTTTGGAAAATACTTATTTTCCTAATTTTATTTGTCAGCACAGTTTTACCCAATTCTTCCCTTCCTAGAAACTATGATGGAAATTATGAAATTTGGAAACCAATTCATAATACACGTATATAATTAAATTATTATTCTTTCATTAGTTCCAATATCCTCAAAATAAATGGATTAATGCAGAGATCATGTTTAGCATAAGAACAATACCTTTTGGAGTGTGTTATCCAGAATATTTTTTCAAATTATTTCCCCTCCTTCATGTTACTCTTAAATATGCAGAATCTTAAAAGAAGTGAAATAACTTCTGCACTGCTCTGAGAGCAAATGCACTCCTGCAGACTCCATCATGCCTGTCCTAACCAAAGGTGCATTCCTAAAATTTTGCACTTCAGAATTCATGGGAATATGTGAAAGCCTCAATTTTCATCAAAAACACCCTTCACTTTCATGAAAAGCAAAACCAAACCCTCAAGGTTTTAGAAAACAATTTGAATTCATGACCCATGCACATATCAAAAAACTCCCTTAAAGTTAGAGAAGTAGATATAAAATCCAAAATACAAAATGTAACCATAAAAGCCACCGTTATAATTCAGTGAGAAAAAAAAAAAACCCAAAACAACACCACCAAAAAAAAGGCAACCCAACAAAACCCTTCAGGAGAAAAACTGCATTTGAATCATAAGAGAAAATGAACTTGCTTGCACTTCAGCCACATAAAAGTTTTGGCATTGAAAAATTAATAATTTTCTCAGTACTTTCTACATGAAAAAAAAGACACCCCAGAGAAGAGAGAAGGAATTAACTGGACTTAAATTAGAGATGGCCTGCAGGGATGGCCTGCTTTACTGAGAACGGCCAAAGGGATGCTGGAACAAAGAACCCAAAACAAAAAGCTTTCCTCAGCGTCTCCCATGCCCTGGTTTTCAATAAATCCTGCTGCATGTGTCTGTTCTGCCCTGCTACAGTAAGTGCTGGGAAAAAGAAATAACCCAGCAACAAAGGTGGTTTTCAACATCACCAAAAATTAAGAGTAAAGGACAAAACAAGACTTGTTCTTTATGAGCCAGCTTTCCCAAGTGATGCTGCCCAGGAGTTTCAGGTAGATGCTCTCTGATGGGGACAGGGAATGAAAGCTCAAACCTCCTGCAACTTAAATGTGACTTTCTATGGAAAGCAATGAGTATCTATTTGCTTAATTTCATTTCTATTATTAGCACATACAAATAGCTGCAGTGGATTGTATCCACGACCCATCTAGTCCAAGATCCTGTCTCAAGCCCATCTAGTCCAAGATCCTGTCTCAAGCCGTGGTCTGTAACTGATGCCCAGGAAACGTGTGTACAGAGCAGGGAAAGCGGGCAATGATGCCCAGTTTATCCTCCCAGCTTCAGTATATACTGGTTAAGGGACTTCCAAAACTGGAGACTATATCAAAACCATCATGTTCAATAATCTCTGATAAACCTCGCTCCATGGGTTAGACAAGCTGTTTTTTAAGAATCCCTGTCCAATTACGAACCACCATGATATATTTTCCTACTGTAAAAACAGTTAAGCAAAACTCCTTGGACAGAAATATCAGGCAAGCTTGAGATTAAATAAGCTTGGGAAAATTCAGTCTGGATACATGCATTTTGATGTATTTATTTTTTGAGTGTATCTCTGCTAAACTCCACAGTCTTTAATCAAAATTCCCACCAAAGTGAGTAGCGAAAGGCAAGCTGTTGCCAAAGTTCATAGCGAGACCCATGGGATGAGAAGCAAAGTTCTGTCAAAAATGAGAAATCGTCAAGGAGAGGGAGCAGGAGGAGCGGATCAGTTCTCGGCATGACAATCTCAGGCTGCCTTGAAGTTGAGGGAGCTCAAAGAGCCACTTAAGCCGGTGCTCAGGATTCTGCTGAACTGGGGCCTGAACAGTTATTATTTATACTCTTATCACACAGAAATGTAAATTCCATTGGAAAGGGAAAACAAATATAAAAGGGAGAAAAAGGACAGCAGCACGTACTGTTGCAGACTCACAGAAGTACTATAGACATCTTTGTTCTGCAGACTTCATGTAGAGAATTTAAAGAGGCAGAGGGACACACTGGATTTTTACTTAATGATTTAAAACGCTGGTATTTAGCTACACACATAGCTCATGCACTTGTGCAAGGTCCAAAACCAGCCAGTGTGGTGTATACAGACACACCACCAAACTAGCTAAGTCACCCATGGAGAAAGTCTAACTAAAGCAACACCAAAAAGTTTAAAACCCCAAGCCAGCACTCTGAGCCACGAGCACAGGCTACGCCACAGCAAGGTTTGTATTCCCACAGTCACTGCCATCAGTACCTGGGCTTGCAAATTCAAAGGCACTTCAACCATCTCCCACACCTATGGCCACAAACACAACCATGCTGTGAACGTAACCAAAGCAGCCCACAGGTTGGGCTGGGAAGGGAACAAACACAACAGCACGAAAAGCATTAACAGCTTCACATTTCTACGATCAGACAGGAAGCAAAGGAGTGCAGCCTGTGCACAGCCTGGCTGGACACAGACCCACCTCCTACACCAACTCACTGCATTTTAGAAGCAGGTTTAGACAAACAAAAGCCTTTGCGCTTCAATGGGAAGTCGCCTAAGAAATCTTCTCACAGGACCAGAGACAAAATTCTGAAGCATTCAAACCACTATACATCCAATCATGATAACCAAGCAAAACAGAAAAATTCATGCTGTACCTGCTCCAAAGGCAAAGAAAAAGCTCTTATCTGTGTTCTCCCTTAAAAGCGCCATCACTCTCTTCCCCATCCTCTCATTCCTCTTGTAGATCAGCTCCTGTCTGAAGTAGCTGTCTATCTCCTGAGCCGTCACCTGCTCGTGGGGTGGGAGTGTTGTATTGATGAAGTTAGGGACCTGAAATGGAGAGAGAGACTGCAGTTCAGGTGATGGTGGTTAAGTAATCCCCAAAATACTGGATGTTTTAATCTAGCCTTATTTATACCACCTGAGCATCACTGTCATACAAAAAAACCACTACAGGATAAGAGCTTGTGAGGTTGCTGGGATCTATACAAAGAAAAAAAAAACACCAACCAACACACTTTTTTTTTTTTTTTGAAGTGAAACTAGTATTTTACTAAATTAAAGTTAAGTTCATTTTGACTTTTCTCTGTTTCTTCAGCAGAATGTTGTTTTAGGTGTTACATTTGGGTGAGTTACTAAAACCTTTATTCTCTGCTTATTCAACACAGTTCATTGGCTATTTAATACAAGAACAAGTCCTGTAATCTGTCCTCAGCCAAGGTCACCATGAACTTGAGTAAGGACTGCAAGATTTGGCTTTTATATGCTCCTTTTTAATAACCTAACAGTTAAAAAAGTAGGAAAGGTTAGCAAATCCAGACATAGGAAGATATAAACAGGGTAAACTCCCTTATCTTTCTTGCACCTTTAGATGCTATTAGGTCTCATGAGAGAAGACTGTGCATTGCAACACATAAACCCCTGGAACATTTCTGATATTTCTGAGGAAGGTATTTCCACAAGAACTTCTTCAGTCTCTGTTTTTGTGAGGGGAGACGTTCATAGGCACAGAAAAAAGGTTGAAACACCAAGGGCCATTCGAGTCAGGGCAGCAGATCCAGGAAGGAGCCAAGACCCAAGTCATAATGGATGGACAAGCCAGAAGTCTCTGATTAACAGGGCAGGCAACTTGTTTTGACACGGTGAGAGTCCAAGGTCCAGCATGAGAGTTTGAAAGCCTATGGGCCCTGCAGCGAGAAGTGCTGTAAGCAGTCAGTGTTTGATGACTGCTAACAGTACCCAGGCACCTTCCAGCGATTTTCTGTGCCTCACCATTGGAAAGCAGCTTAAGCTGCAAAACCCAGATTCAGATTTCTGAGTCCCCGGGTACATGTAAAGCTGCTAGGATTTCCACTGTTAATCTGAGTCAGTGGTAATGACATTGCATGCACAGCCCATAAGGGGAACATCCCTCACTCACTGTGCTGAAATACTTGATGCAAGGACAAATACTTTGGTTAATTCTTTGTCTAGTTTTCTACTATACTAAATTCCTGTACTCTTTCTAAAACTTGCCTTTAGTCTTTGTTTTTCAGCCCACCTCTTACCCTCCCACTTGACCACATGATTTTATCACAACAATTTTTGTCTCTTCCCACCCTCTTCACTCATACTGCCTCTCCAAAAGCTTTCAGCAAGTCTTAAAAAAGAACTAATTTCCATCTTCCCAGTGGCTCTCCTTAAATCTTTTTGATTGCAGCCTCATCTACAGCTCTCTTAATGTGCGGGGAACAAAGCAGCAGAGATTTCTCACCATGCATTATGCAGAAGGACAAGACTAGGCCTTGCTCTGGATTCCCATCAAAGGCTGTTCCCAGCTGGGTGAGACAGAAATGGGCACCACATCTCCTGAGCCAGGGAATCCCATGTGGCTGGAGTTCATACTGCTGCTGACAGCGACCTGCCCCAGCCTATTGGGCCACATGGACCAGCTGGACCTTTGATTTTCCAAAAGACTTCTCAACCTGCTTTGCCGAGTCACTGGTACTTCTCACAGCATGTTCCTCCTTAAGGGTTCAATTGCATTACCCTGAGTGATTCCTTCCTCCGGACTTTCTAGCATGGCTTGGCTTCGCCAGTGTATCTTGTGAACTCCTCAGAGCATGCAAGCACTTTGCACCTTATTCTCAGTTTAGCCCTGTGTCAGTACTCAACAAATAATAAGTCTCATAAAGCCAGACCTATCAGAGACACCAGTTTCCTGTTAACATGCAAGAAAGCTGCCTTGATGTCTAGCAAGAACGTGCGTTTGTCTCAACGGGATGTTGGAGCAGCCTGCTGGTGTCAAGAGGGGTAAAATGCTGCTGGCTACAGCAGCAAAGGATGTAGTGGCTTCGAATCCTAGAGAAAGGCAGGGAGAGATTTTTATTGTAGGAATAAAGTCTGAGGAATGAGTAGCCATTTTACACTTGCAATAACCTCTGAAGCGCAAAGCTGTACATCAGTTGGTCCATGCAGATATCACAAGCCTTTGTATCTATCTCCTCTATACTGAGGCTCTGTGTTTAATGGGTTGATGCAGCTGAACCAGGAGTCAGGGGAGCCTTCAGAGACTGAAATGGAAGGTGAAATTTTTTGGGAACATCTGAAGGCTCAACACCCATATAACAGAAGTCTCTTCTTCCCTGCTTTTGGCTGAAGAGAAGTGAAGGCTGGGAACTGACAGAACCTGGTCTCGAATCACCTGAGGTGGTTTGAGGAAAGCAAGGTACAGCATTGCCTGTGAGGACAACCTGCTCTTACACAAAGCAGGAGCAGCAATGCTGGGGGATCGAATGGCTTTGTGCATCCCACTCCAACCAGGGGAAAGCTCTGATGCTGGAAGTCTAGATAGCCCAAGGACAGAAGTTGTGTTCAGATCTTGACCAAGAGGGTCTTTGCCACGAAGGAAAGCGCCTTCCTTCAGCTTGTGCAACTCCATCACTTGCAATCCTACATCCACATTCGACCTACAGTTTGTTCCTCCTCTTTATCTAACCTAAAATACAGTCCACAAAATGGAGCCATTTACTTGTCTTTTTTCCCTCCCTTTCTTTTGTTTTCTGTGGGAAAGAGTTTGCCAATGACAGAGAGATACATTTAAAACCAGTGTTTTTTCAACATTTCTCATGCTTGTTCAAGAAACAAGACAAAGGAAGGCATCACCTCTAGAGGCACATCATCAGCTCCAGGTCCCACTACACCTTGTGCATTCCTATATGACTGCTCCATCACTGGCAAAAATAAAACATGCATGTATGTTTCTGCATGTGTGTGGCAGAGGACAGAAGATAAATGATTGAAGTAAGTATGCCCGTACACAGTAGTGCAACCACACTCTGAGCTATGACACTGGCCCCATTAATCACCTCCACTCCTCCCTGTATCGCAGTTTCTTTCCACAGTCAGTGACATACACCATGCCTGCCTTCAAGGAGGCAGCTGCTCCTGTTGATTTAAGAAACCCTTTGGATTCCTAACCACCAGACAGGGATCAGGAAGTCAAGAAACAGTCACACGCAATTAGGAAGCTGTTAACTGCAGCCAGAATTTAAGGTTTTTTTTGGAAAAAAGAAAATCTGTTGTTTTAAAAGGATGGGCTAAAGAATGCACCAGAGGGGTGCACCTTCCCTCTTCCACTTTATCAAATATTTTTGTTTCCATTCAGCATCAGATTTAATTTTAACATTTTAATGATAGGTATTTGTTTTTTTGAACTGAAAGTGAATGGATGAGATGTGCTGTGCCAATGGGTGAGGGACTGACCTCTTGATAATAGCTGAATACTGCTACTAGCATTTAAATATATCATTGGGTGGATGATGTGACTGTTGAAAAGTCCTAACTTCTGATTTTGCTGTTGATCTAGGAGAGTAGCAGTTGGATCAGCAGAAAAACACAGTGCTACCCATCACCTGGGGTGTGCTCACTTTGTAGTGGATACACATGATAAGAGATAAATACATTCTTTCTGTTGAGTCTCTGCAAGCCATGCAGTTTTCTGAGAATCCAACCAACTCATATATAGATATATAAAAATACACACACACACGACATATTTCCCATGGAAACTCTATAATATATTTCATTCAGAGGTGTTCAAAAGAAATAATATTATGTCTGACTGAATTGGCTAGAACTCTTCCTTTTCTCTATTCCTATTTACTTTGGGTTATGGCTCTCTTATGGACAGCGTAGATGGACCTTGAATTCAGTCATTAGGTACACCCTTCATTTCTTAATTAAGCTTTTGATGTTAAAGGAAGAGAATATGAGAACAAAAAAGAAGTGGAGTCCCAGCCTTATAGAAATTTTTTCCCCTCCACACTGCCTGTGTAATTTTACTTGAGTCAGTATCCCTGATGGAATGTATGTGTGGGTAAAGCTCTGCACACACGCCTGAGCTCACAGTGCTGTGGGATGTGGGCCGTAATTCTTCACTTTTGAAGTCAGTGGGAGCTTTAGGAAGAAGAAAGAGGAAGGATTGTGGAGTGGTTATGACACTACCCTGAAAAAATGGTTCTGTTCCCATGGGTGATACAAATCTCTTGCATGATCACAAGCATGTCATTTGGGTTTAGACCTTCAAAGGAAACTTAGCACTTAACCTCCACTAAGTATCTTTGAAGCATTTGGCTTTATTCCTCCTGTCTCTCAAAAGTCCATCTGTAAAATGGGGACAGCAAGACTTTCCAACTTGATGTTACATACAAGGCACTGGCTTAATTTAGCTGTTGAAGGATCCAAAGGAAGATCCAAAGTCCAAGACGATGCTCAGCACTAACCTCTCTTCCCACAAATACTTTGTGGAAGGAGGGTGGGATTCTGCTGCAATCATTAGCATAAGAGCTAACAACATACTTTTGCTTAGAAAAATGCATCAGCCATATCTCAAGATCTATGCTATGCTGTCAGCTTTGTCTACAGAGACAGAGAGAAAGAAATGAAAAAAAAAAAAGAAAAGAAAAGCAAAATATATTGGTGCACAGTCTTTTATCACATTTAGGGCTTACTGCCAAAGTTCAGCTGAAAATTCATAAACACTGGACTACATTTAAGTACATTTTCTTATTTACTGTTTTTTAATATTTGGACAAATATTCTGGGCAGAGGCACGATGCCAGAGTTGTGAATATCTATCTGCAAATAATTTTTTTGGACACATATAAGCACCATCAACTTTGGTTAACATTTTTTTTCCCTTCTTTGGATCTATTGGCTACAGTGGAACTGCTCTAGATTCAGTCCAATATCAAATCACAATCACATGTGGAAGAATAATGTTATCGTTCCTACTCCTACACACTACCTTTCTCAGTCCTCTGATAACCTCTTTTAGCCTTGTTCTGTTC